ATTATTTCCGAGAGCATTTGATGCTTTTCTATCCTTGGCGAAATGAAGAAGCTGAACTTCTTTCCAACGATATTGAAGACACATTCCGAGTAAACCATGAAGCCATTAAGGCAAAAAAAAGGAACTATGATGTGTTTGATGATATGGAGTTAGAAAGAGTTCTAGAAGATTTGCAAGAGGATAGGGGAGATAATGCTCCTGTTGCGGAAGAACCTGCCTCCCAATTTTTAGACGAAGAGTTTAGAGCTTTGGCAGTACCAAATATAGAGCGGAACGTAAATATTCTACAGGATGACAATGCAGTAAACAACCCTGAAGAAGACGGCGAACTTCAATTAATTAGACTCCCCCGTTAGTTTCTAATGATGACCTTTGCTCGCTAACTCGGTCCCTCAACCATAAGCAAAGACAATATTATGCACATGTGATGCATAATGTTGTTTGTAAAAATATTTTTACGAATATGTTGGTGGAGGGGCGGGTGTGGGAAAAAGCAGACTGATTTCTACCATCTATCAGTCTGTGACTTGGCGAGCAAATAAGCTTCCTGGTGCTACGGATTCGGCAAAGGTTTTATTATGTGCTCCAACTGGAAAAGCTGCTTTTGGAATTGGAGGGCTGACACTTCATTCAGTGTTTTCTCTTCCAATTAATCAGGCTTCAGGTCCCTTAAGACCTTTAAGCAATGACAGTTTAAATACAATTCATTGCAAGTTGATTGATCTCCAATTAATTATAATTGATGAAATTTCAATGGTTGGTTCTAAAATGCTTTCATTTTTGGATCAAAGGCTTCGTCAAATTTTCCGAAGTCCTGACATATGTTTTGGTGGAAAATCAATTATAGTTTTTGGAGATCTAAAGCAGCTTTCCCCAGTTGGAGACAGTTGGATATTTTCGGAGAGGACAATTAATCCTTATAGCGTTTTAGCAGGAAATAGCCTATGGAGCAACTTTAAGTATTTTGAGCTCACAGAAATAATGCGCCAAAGAGGCGATCATGCATTTGCTCAAGCCCTGAATCATTTATCTGAGGCTTGCATGACAATTGCAGATATAGAGCTCCTAAAACAAAGAGTTGTTTCACCCAGCGAAGTTCCTGATGATGCCATTCATTTATTTTCTTCTAACGAAGAAGTTAACAATTACAATTCCATTAAACTAGCGCAAATTGGGACGGAAGAGTTGGTTTCCACTGCTGTTGATACAGTGAAAACTGCGAACATATCTGCACGAAACAGAGAAAACACGTTAAGATATGCTCAAAATATGAAAACCTCTGAAACACAGGGTTTGCCATATAATCTTTATCTCAAAACAACTGCTAAATATATGGTTACCGTCAATATAGACACAAGTGACGGACTTGTAAATGGAGCAACTGGTCAGCAGATGCAAATTGATCATTGCTTAGTGAATGGCTCAAATTTAGTAACGCGACTTTGGATTAAATTTTTTGAACCCACGGTTGGTGCTATCGCCAGATCAAAAGTTCGAAACAACCCCGATTCCGAATGGACTCCAATAGTAAAAGCCTCTCGAGTTTTTCAATGTGGAAGATCTGAGCATGCTTCTGTTGACCGAAAACAATTTCCAATTGTTCCCGCTGAGGCTATTACCATCCACAAGAGTCAAGGAGCAACATATAGCAAAGTCGCCGTGCATCTTAAAAGAGGCATCAAGCGAGCTTCGCTATATGTTGGATGCAGCAGGGCCACTAGCGCATTAGGACTTTTCCTTCTAGGCGACTTTGTTCCTCCAACAAGATTTGGAGCCCAAAATGTCCAAGACGAAATTCAAAAGTTAAGAGAGGAAAAGTTCTTGACTACGCATTATTAACAGTAATGAAGATATCTCTCTATATTACCATAATGTTGAGTCTCTTCGAAGCCATCGCGAAGATATTTTCAATGACCCTATTATTTGTTCTGCGAGTTTTCTTTGTTTTGTTGAAACTTGGACTCTTCCCAGCGAAGACTTTTCTTTACAAGGTTTTGACATTATAAGAAGAATTGATAGCAATCGATTGAATGGTATTAACAAAAATGGAATTATAATTTATGCCAAGCAAAATATTGCCGAAAATGTAGTTTGCTTGTTTGAGACAAATAAGTCTTTAAGCTCAAGAACTACATACCAATCAATAGCCTTTAAATATCTGGATACATCCTTTATTGTTGTTTATAGGAACCCTGCTTTTCCTATAACACAATTTCGAAATGAAATTATGGCGGATGTTGAAAGGATACGCAGCTTGGAAAATAATAGCAAATTGGTTATTTTAGGAGATTTTAATATATGCAGATCTACAAACACTGATCGACTTGAGGAAGCTTTAAATGAATTTAATCTTAGTCCAATCAACAATTGTGCTACTACCAAAAGTTTGACGCAAATCGATTGGATATTTGCTGATGATGAGCTAAGGAATGCTGTGGTTCTTACATACAAAACGAGCTATAGTCATCATGATGGAATTTTTCTTAAATATAGCTGTTAAGATTTGTTTATTAATTTATTAACTTATTTATTTATTTGAATTGTATATATGTACATATTTCATTAATTAGTATTAGTAATATATTTGTATATTATTTACAGATTTTTAAAAATTGTTTAATTATAAAGTGCAATATAGATTAAGTTATTATAGTATATCCCTCTCGTGGATTGAGACCTTGTCGTGGTGAGGGGGCTGAGTATGTGAGGATTCATAATAAATATCACGGAAACCAGCATCAATCCTTTGTTTTAATTAGTATATAAAAAAGAAATAAATCTACCACAGATTCAAAATGAAAAGTAATATTTAATAAGTCTATTGTCTCAAAAGTTGGCATAACCATTATGTAAAAGTTCGAGGGGTTCAAAGTTTGGAGATTTATTGATGATGGCTATGATAGACATATTCGATGATTGAATACAGTAAGTAAAAATGTTACTATATGTACCAGTTCTCAATAAAAATTCTAAATTACGTTTAAAATGTGAAGAAAACTCCAAAGTTATAGCGTTTCGGATCGTTCAGATATATAGAAGTTTTAAGATATAGTCGGTCGATCGCTATGAAATTTTTTAATAAACGAAAGGTGTGGCAAACTCCCTAACTTTAAAAACACCAAAGTTATGACATTTCCAATAAATCAGTTATATGGCAGCTATCAGATATAGCCGACCGATCCTTAAGAAATTTTGATAGGTCAAATAGATTGATCTACCAAAACTCGATTGAAACCAAAAAAAGAATCTTTTGTTTCTACTTTATATCTTCAAAAACACGAAAGTTAGGTAATTATCGATCTGTACGAAGTTGCACCTTTCTATCTTCAAAAAAACAAAAGTTGCGTCAGTTAAACGGCAGCTATAGGATATAGTCGGCCAATTTATATGAAATTTAATAAGTAGTATTATTTTAATAGAAAAAATAATAAATAAAAAATAGAATCCATAGAAAATCCCAACTTTCTACCTCGAAAAACACCAAAATTATGCCATTTCCAATCAATCGGTTATATGGCAGCTATAGGATATAGTCGGCCGATCCTTATGCAATTTGGTAGCTCGTATTCTTTTGCCAAAAATAGAATTCGTACAAAATCCGAACTCTCTAACGCTAAAAAAACCCGGAGTTAAAGCATTTCCAATGAATCAGTTATATGGCAGCTTTAAGATATAGTCGGCCGATCCTAATGAAATTTGGAAGGTTGGATCAACTGACCAAAAATAGAATCTGCACTAAGTTTCAGCTTTCTATATTCAAAAACACAAAAGTTGGGTCATTTCCGATCGTTCAGTTATATGGCAGCTATAAGATATAGTCGGCCGATCCTAATGAAATTTGGAAGGTTGGATCAACTGACCAAAAATAGAATCTGTATTAAATTCCAGCTTTCTATCTTCAAAAACACAAAAGTTGGGTCATTTCCGATCGTTCAGTTATATGGCAGCTATAAGATATAGTCGGCCGATCCTAATGAAATTTGGAAGGTTGGATCAACTGACCAAAAATAGAATCTGTATTAAATTTCAGTTTTCTATCTTCAAAAACACAAAAGTTGGGTCATTTCCGATCGTTCAGTTATATGGCAGCTATAGGATATAGTCGGCCGATCCTTATAAAATTTGGCATGTCGTAATTTTTTACCAAAAATAGCTTTCATGTCAAATTTGAACTCTCTAACTCTAAAAACACCAAAGTTATACCATTTCCGATCAATTAGTTATATGGCAGCTTTAGGATATAGTCGGCCGATCCGGGCCGTTCCGACTTATATACTGCGTGCAAAGGAAAGGAAAGAAGGGTGTGTGCAAAGATTCAAGACGATAGCTTCAAAACTGAGAGACTAATTCGCGTAGAAACGGACAGACAGACAGACAGACAGACGGACAGACGGACAGACGGACATGCTCATATCAACTCAGGAGGTGATCCTGATCAAGAATATATATACTTTATAGGGTCGGAGATGTCTCTTTCACTGCGTTGCACACTTTTGACCAAAATTATAATACCCTCTGCAAGGGTATAAAAATAATTCCTACTAGGTCTCTTCAAAAGTTCCAAATCACCAAATCCAAAATCGCACTATGTTTTTTGGAGCTCTTTTTTTTTTCACTGCGGAAGGCTACCCAAACACAGATCATAAAGTCGATAACTTAAATGTTATAAGACTAGCTTGCGTAGAAGCAGACAGACCGACATGTTTATATCGACTCATCAGGTTATCATGAACAAGAATATATACACTTTATAGTGTCGGACATGTCTCCTTTACTGCGTTGCTCTCTTTTTACCTTATAATTGGTCAAAATTATATATATAACCCCCTGCAATAACAACAATTTATAACAATTTATAACAAATGGATAATCAATTAAAAACCACAATTAATTACACAGGCATACAAATTTATATTTTTTCGTATTTCGTTTTAATATAAAGCAGATCGATTAAGAAATATTTTTTTTCTTTTCATCGTACCTTCAACCAAAATAAAAAGGATATAAATATCGCTGGCCAAAATTTCACCAAGTGAATATAAAGGAAAGGATATTATGGATATAATGGAAAGTAACCAAAATCAAGTATTATTATAAGTTTTAAAAAATCAATTGAAATGATCCGTTTCCTGCACATTGGAGTTCAATATAGTCTATTTTGTATCCTTATATTTGGCCAGTCGCATCTAGTTCGGTACGTAACAACTTTTTATCGTAATTATTTTTAATTTAAGTTGATATAATACCCCCTTAAATGTAATAAATATGACGTCAAACCCTTAGTGATATATACCTTTTGTATCCAACCCATGTTTAAATGTAAAAATCGTAAAAATCAGCAATATAAAGCTGTTTAAAGTGTTATTGTTTTAATCAGTGGTGAACACACAAATAACATTCACAGGTTATACTTGATTTTGTTTTCGAATATGTAGAATTCTCCCGTAAGCACACTAATATTTACAATCGTTTTAAGTAGTTCGATAAGTACTAAGCGTCACCTAGGAATCTAACGGGATTTTCTAAAAATAGATTTGAAGATGTGAACAGATGTTCATTTGTAAAATTCAGCTGCGCGCAACACGAATAGCCGAACTTTGAAGTGGTCAGATCATTATTTACGTGCTCAAATTCAAATTATTTGTAATGGATTTTGAAGTTGAAGGTATTTTCTATAAAATGAGATACATTTTGATATATTAATAATAATTATTGTTATTATTTTATTACTATGAACTAATACATGTTTTTTGCCCATATTTTGAACGTCTTTCTCATGTTTAGCTAAAGTTTTAGTAATGATCCCACAATATTCTACAATTCGTTTATATACCAATGTGTTTGTCGGTCTCCAAAGGTAACAAATGTGTAAACCTATGTATATGTATGTATGTATGTATGTATGTATGTATATTTGCCTATGTCCCTAATATCGTAAAAATACTAGCACCATATCAACATATCACTTTTGCCGTATATTTACTTGTTATGCTGTTGCTCTGTATTCGTGTGTCATGCTAGTGTTTACCTTTCCAAAACTATTTGTTCATTCACTAATAGTTTTTATTTTGTTTGATATTCCCTTGCATTTAATTTTAATAGGTTCTTCTTGTGTGTGTTTGCACGATCTTATATTTTTAATTTATGGTGCGGCGAAAACATCAAATGACGGTAATACGGCATGAAGGTTTTTTAGTGATACAAAATTGTCTGCTGATATAACAGGATTGGATGAACATGTTTAGAGAGATGTGCAAAATTACTGCAATGCATGGCATCTGGATATAAAATAAATACCGAAAAATTTGGAAGCTTTGCACTTGACACAAAATAAATTTTACCCATGGTATTACCCTCTACCTTCAGTTCACAAAGTTTTAGTCCACGGTCCGGAAATTATAAATTATGCGCTTGTTTCGATAGGAGAATTATCTGATGAAGCTGCCGAATTAAAAAAAAATCCTAAAAATAAAGACATAAAAAAATTTAGACAATATCATACTAGGAAAATGTCACGAGTTGACACAAATAGGGATTTATTTTATAGATTGCTCTTAAGTTCTGACCCTTTCATAACTGGATCTTGGAAAAAAATTTTTTTTAGAAATTGGACCATCTTTTTGTATGGGAAGATATAGCTGAGCTATAAGATATAGTTATCCGATTTGAACCAAATTTGGTAAGGATATATATACCTGCACCAAACACATAATCTGTGAGACTGGTTAAGATATCTATAAAAACAAAGTTTTTCATACTAAATGTTGATTTTAAACAGATTGTTCCTATGGTAGCTGTAGGATATAGACGTCCTTATACCTTATAGAGGACCCTCATGAGAAGACAGAGCGTGGAAACTGTTGGGTATATCACAGAAGTAGAACTAAGCAAGAAAGTACAAAATGAAGGGACAGAGTAAAATGAAAAGAAGAGGGAGATAAATAAAGAGAGGAAAATGAATAAAGTGTATCTAGTAGGTAAGTTTCTTAAGGAGTTATATACCTTTTTTATTTTCAAAAAATCGAAAATTTTTTTATTGCTTTATCTTGAAGAACAACTCCTTGAGAATATTTTCCCAAATTTTCGTAGAGATTGGAGCAGTAGAAAAAAAGTTACAGCGCTCCTAACCGTGCGCCTCATTGCGGCCTTGAACTGAACTTGAAACTTTAAACGCGAATATCTCGAAAAGGTGTTTCTTGAAAAATGACTTTGCGGTGACATGAATTGGCGGAAAACTACTGAACCGATTCACTTCAAATTTTTTTTAATATGTTCGTAATGAAATTCTTCTGTGCTTGAACGATCGACTTTTCACGCACAAACTTTTTTTTCGCCAAAATGAATTTTTTAGTGAGATTTCTAGAGACAAAAAAGTTTATTTTTAGCATAAAACGTTCCCGTATGAATAAAAAAAATAAAAATTGTAAAATCGATCGTTCAAGCACAAGGAAATACACTAAACTAATGAAATTTTTTAAAACGCAGTGGTAGTGGACCTGCCAGGCAAAAAACCATGCTGGTTGGGGGATATAAAATTGCGAGCCAGAAAAGTCAATTTTTTAGTTACTATCCGCTCCAGTATCTTAGCGACGTTGCAAATTTTGGCTATAGGTCGATAGTTGGTAACATCACACCTACTGCCACCTTTGTGAATAGGCGTTATAGAAGTAATCTTCCACCGGTGGGGGAATCTACCAGAAGAGAGCGAAAAGGAGAACAGCAGTTGAAGGGGAGTAGAAAGAGAAGCGATACTCCTCTTAAGAAAGAATGGGGAGATACCGTCCACGTCAGGTGTGAGCGACTCGGTCAAATGTCCAGTGGCTTCAACTAGGTCACCGTCCAAAACGTCCATGTTACTCACATTAAGAAAAGGCTCAATGCTAAGAAGAGTTTCATGATCACTCCAAGGAACCTTCGGCTCCAAGTTAGAGGCAAAGTATTTTGCAAAAAGATCAGAAACGCCCTGATCCGAGTCGGCTGCTAAATTACCATAACATATGGATGAAGGTATGTCCGATTTTGACTTTTTGCTGTTAACAAACCGCCAAAAAGCTTTAGGATTGGATCGAAGGCTAGCTTCGACATCGGATATATACTGATTGTAGAGAAACTTATTAAGGAAATTAAATCCCCGCTTAAATTGCCAGTACAGCTCTCCTGCTCGAGACTCCCCTGTCATTATAAATCTTTTGTAATGCTTATCCCTTCTATTCTTTAAGTTTTTAAACCTTTTGTATACCAGGGTAGCCTATAGGATCTTTGTACCCTCACAGGGGCATAAGTATCAATAATATTAAAAAGGGCAACCAAGAACTTAGTATAACAATCATCGATTGAGCCATCCAAAAAAAGGGAAACCCAATCAAAGGCTGAAATAGAGGCATAAATAAGTGACAAGTTAGTATCATTCAGATGATAATATGGAATGGGGGAAGCAGAAGGCAAAAAACTATAAAACTCAATATTAATTACCAACGGCTTGTGGTGCATATCACAAGGACTTAATGGTACATTGCATAATTCTACTTTACTATTAATCAAATTATTTAAAAATATAAGATCAAGAATTTTGGATAAATCATTAAAAATATTATTTACTTGGGAGAGGCCCAGACTAAAAATATCATCTAAAACTACAATTTCATGACTCTGGTAGCATGCAGGGAGATTCCGGGTCCCAAGACCAGACAATGGAGCTCAGGTTTAAATCGCCAGCTACCATCAAAGCGGTAGGGTCCGACGTTCTAGCACAGACACTAGTGATGTTTTCCATGATATATACTAAATGCGCTGTTCGGAGGGATGTATGATGCAATGATGACGAACGGGCCATGGAAGCCCTGGATTGAATCAACAAGCTGATCCAGTATAGGGTCGGCCACCGGAAGGCGCAGTGGTGTAGCCTGAAGAGATCGACGGATAGCGATGATCACACCTCCACCTCGCTCACACTGGGTACTGAATGCATCTCGGTCCTTTCGAAATACATGGTACAAATTAGGCTCGAAGAACTCAGAGGAGCTGAATTTGTCATTGAGCCACGTTTCCACAAGGATGATTACATCAAAATCGCAGGCAGAAGAATTGAGGAATACCATCCGGGTCTTGGTTCTCATTCCCGATATATTTTGGAATAGAACTTTTAGGCTTTTATTAGGGTCCAAGGACGACGAGTAGCTACAGTCCAAACTGGGAATTGGACGGCAAGGCGGTGATGGTGAAAGTGCACTCCTGGTGCTGGTGCATCTGGAGGCATATCCAATACGCAGAGCTTGCAAAATAGCCGACAAGGACACATAGAAATTTCCATTAGACTCATCAGTAGACCTGCGATTTTTAGTCTGGGCCTCTCCCAAGTAAATAATATTTTTAATGATTTATCCAAAATTCTTGATCTTATATTTTTAAATAATTTGATTCCGTGCCAGGTGAAAACATTGAGCGTTCATAGTCAGGCACATCCAAACGCAGCAAAGATCCACCCACGGGTCCAAAACGTAAATAATCATCTTCCATCGGCGAAAAGAAAGCACCAGCGAGTGGCCCAGCGAAAAGAGATAAAATAAGCGATGCGCTGCCAACGTCTCGATTACCATCGTCTTGTTGTTGCTGGGCATCCACAAGTGAAGATAAGAAATAAACAACTCGCCTTGAAAAAAGTTGTTGTTGTTGAAGAATATCGATCAGCAAACGAAGCCAATTATTGGAGGAATTGAAGACAGCGTCAACCGTTACCATGAACGCCCACGCCGATTGTTGTTGGTAGCGCAGGAGAGAGCAATCGGGGTGACGAACTGCAGCTTGAGAAGAATAAGATGTAACGGCGACAGCGGTGCCGCTTACTGGGGGTTTTTTGAAGATTGCAAATGCGGTTAAGGTAGAATCGCCGGGAGGTCAATAACCTTAGCCGGCTCTCTATGAACAAACCGGCTGACTTTTACCGACATAGGCCAAAAATCGTCATTAAAGACTGTTGGGAAATTTTGCTCTGGAACTCCCAATTTAAAATTGACGAACTTGAGGGCGTTGATGTCAGCATCCTTTTTGATCAGCCTAGCACAGACTAAATCATTGGGCTCCACGTTCAGCTTATCTGCGACAAATTTGCACAGTGCATCCGGTTGGGTAGACGTCGCGAATTTACCCACATTGTTGAGCGCAACTGGGAGCTTGTCCCACAATGCGCCTATTAGG